ACGTAGGGTGCTTGTCTGAATACCAGGAGTGGTTGGCTGACCACACCTGCGGCGGAGCTGTCAAGCGTTGCAGTGTCTAACCTGTCTTGAAATCTAAAACTCGAGGACAGTAGAACACCGTAGGCATTTTGGGCGTATTCTAACCTGTGGTTTGCAAGCTGGTGTTTTGTGAAGGGCTTTGCCTTAGGTGCTGCATTGATTTTCTTCACAGGTTGCTACGGTGACGGAGTATGGGGCATTTATAAAGATTCCAGGCTGCAGGAAGCAAGGTTTGTTTCTCTTACTTCGTTTAGTTGTAGCTTCATGTTGGCATGTTTGAGCCAAGCAGTCATCCTCGGAATTAAAGACTTGTTAGCTATTAGAAAAAATTCAGAAAACGTGGGTTTTTTCCTAAATGAGGAAGAAATGGAGGTTTTCTGAAAGTTCTCAGTAAATATGATGGTATGTTTGTTCGAATACCAAAAACGCTCAGAGGGCTTTTTTTGTAACTTCAGGATATATTAGAGAATCGTTTTAAGGTATTGGTTGAACTACAGAAGCTTTCTGCAGTTAGGTAGTTTGCCCAACTTACTCGTTTTGTGGCTAGTATAAACGGTTAAATATAAAAGACTGAAATATAAAAGTAAAAAATAAACTGGGAAAACTGCAAAATCAAATGAAGTCGTTTTACCAAAGAAGCAACTTCGGGTGGATGATCTGTCAGATGCTGGTGGGCTCACAAGTAACCCCTGCCCCGCTCCCAAGTGCCCAGTCACAGCAGTGCCAGTCCTAATAAAAGTGTTTGGACACAAGTGTAGCTGCTGGAGGGAAGTCGCTTGGAGACGCAAATGGGGCTTGAAATACGAGCTTGAACAGCAAAGCGTGTTTCCATGTTTATTCTCCCTCGTGTAACCCCGTAGCCCACATGTAGTTGGTGCACATTACAAACACGATTTTGGGGCTGTGTGACCTTGCAAACGCAGGAGATCCGGGCAGCCTCGGTGTTTGGTGCTTTTGACTTTGCCAGCATTGTGTCGCTGATGCGTGCAACGGGCTCTTACTCTCCAGTGCTTGGCCTCGCGGGACAGGCGGGTGCTTTCGGGGCCTGCTCCTCTGAGTTAATTTGGTGTGGATCTTGATGAGCTTTTCTCTGTGTGATTGATGCAACCGGTTGATTCTCACCTGCATAATGTACTGGAGGAAAGGAACAGTTCTGCTGAGGGGAACCGCAGAATGTGTTCCCTGTCTCCCAGGGCAGTGGTCTACAGGCGCGTTCGATTGCACGCCCCCAGCGCACAATCAGTTAACCCTATCTGTTACAACATTTTGAGCATGCACCCCCCAATTAATTTATAAATTATACACGTGCACTAATGTTGTGTACATTATAAAATGTGTTCAAATACAGAAGTTAAAAAAGATGAGCTAAAGATGAAATAAGCAGTATGAATTTTAAAAATTATTTTATTTATTAATGGTACAAAAATATTTTCTCCCCCTACCGCAAAGGATTGCCTTGCATCAACTGCACTTTGGAGACCGCTGTCCCGGAGGACAAAACTGATTGAGTTTTGGCTTGTCTTTACTTTGTCCCTTTCTTCTCTTCCAAAACCATGATCAGGCCTTGTTCACAGGACTCATATGTCCTCCTGCCGCGTGGATAAACCCTCAGAGATAGTAGATGTTGGAGACAAAGTATGGGTGAAGCTTATTGGAAAAGAGGTAACATTAATTCTTGTTCCTTTAGTGCTTGGTAGATAAAATATACTGCACGAAGCAGGAACTGAGAACTTTTGTGCAGAGAGGCTGTGTGTTCCTGTGGCTTTGTCGGGGTTTGATGGGCTCTGTTTGTCAGACAGGTGAATTTTTGCCTTCAGATGTGGCTTTGGGCACGTCGCTTCTGTGACTCATGACAGCACGGTTCAGAAAATGGGGATTTGTAAAGGCTTTTGGCTTGAAAGCAACAGAACACTTCGCTTTCTTCCCCTGCACGCCCCTTCCCAGCTTTTATCACCTTCACTGTGTGATTGGGTGGCTCAGTGAGCAATTTGAGAGGATCCCCAATAAAACATGGTTGTTAAAACTGTTTTGAGAGACAGGAAGAAGCTGAGATTTTTGATTGCTTGTTACCAAGAAAGTACAAGTGGCAGTGAATTATGCCCACAAGAGGCTCTTCGTTTGTTTTGAAGAGTGTTATCATTCCTCCCTCCCATCTTGTAGATGCTACTGCTTTTTCTTCTGCAGAGGATGTGACAATATCATCTGTATTTCAAGATTGCTTGGAAAAAAAGCTAAAGACTCTTGCTTTGGTGAGCCATAGCAAGCTCACTGTATTCTCTTGGGATCAAAGTGAAAGCATTCACTTCAGTGTTGCACAGGATTTGCAACTTTGCTTTGCTTTTTTAAGGAGATAATCAGGTTGACGTACAAAACAAGGACTTAATTTTGTGTGAGGTGAGGGAAATGGCTTGAGAGACTTGGTCTTACACAGTATAGAAAACTTTATGCAGACTTTACACAGCATAGAAAAACTCTATGAAAGACTTTACAGCTTCTTTTTAGCCATCTGTAGTGTTCTTTTTTAAAAAGATTTGTTTGTGTAACTTTTTATTAACCCACTGTTTTCTTTACCCAGAACACAGTTGTTACTTCTGCCACTTGCCTCTACAGCAAAGAAGCCAGGAATATGTGTGGGAGAGACAGGAATATTATTGCTGAATTGCCTGCAGATTACTGCATAGATGTCATAACAGTCAAAATAGAAATCCCTTCAGTAGCAGCAGTGGTGAAAATGCAGGAAGTTGTAAGAAAGGTTTGAGTATAAACTCCAAATGTACAACTTTTGCTCTTGCTTACAAAGTGATTATGTGGCAATCAAGGACACTTCTGAATCCTAGTAAGTCAGTCCCTAATAGAGATACTGAAGCAGATTACTGCATAGATGTCATAACAGTCAAAATAGAAATCCCTTCAGTAGCAGCAGTGGTGAAAATGCAGGAAGTTGTAAGAAAGGTTTGAGTATAAACTCCAAATGTACAACTTTTGCTCTTGCTTACAAAGTGATTATGTGGCAATCAAGGACACTTCTGAATCCTAGTAAGTCAGTCCCTAATAGAGATACTGAAAACGTTTTTAGTCTCCTGAGAGGATTGAAATGAGGAAAAAAAGATGTAAAGGTTTATTTTTCAGGGTGTGAGTCAGCCAGAGTGCTGGTCCAGGGGCAGCTGCCTTGGGGCTGGATGATTTGAGCATGATAGGAAAGCTTCCAAGCACGTACTTTCTTCTGCAGCCTTTGGGTTTGGTCACAGCAGAATGATCAGTGCTGCTGCTGCTTAGCAGAATGTTAATCTGAACAGACCTGTGCTTTGATCTTGTCTTATTACTGAGATGGGTGCTTAACAGAAGCTGTTCTGTTAGTAAGAATACTCCAAATGCAGCTACAAAATAATAGAACAGAAGCCCTTTCATGCAGTATCCTGTGTGGAGCTGTGCTAACCAGCAATTTCCTTCCTTCTTTCTCCGTAGGCCTTCAGACAGAATGTACTAATTAACATCAGTGTCATTTATTCTTCTCATTCCATATCTTTCAGATGAAAGATGACAAACTGAAACTTTCCCTCTCCATGAAGGTTGTTAACCAAGGCACGGGGAAAGACCTCGATCCAAACAACGTTTCCCTTGAGTAGGTAAATCTACTGAGCGGAATATAACAGGTCAGACAGGTTGCTGCCGCCTGCTTTTCCCTTGCACTCCTGCCTTTCCCGCCATGCTTATTCTCTAGGTCCCCCTCCTTTGAAGCCAGAGGCAGACAGGAGCTGGAAGAGGGCTGTGGTGAGTCCCAGCCTTGCACACCGCTGCAGGATTTTCATTCCTGCGTTGTGAAGGCCCTGCGCACATGCTGGAAGGCCTGGCCACTTTAGCTGGGGATTGCTCTCGCTTTCACGTACTGCAAAATCAAATCCTAACTGCTCCGGTGTTTCAGAGCCTCCTTTTTTTGCAACTTCTCTTGCAGGTCAAAGTTGCTTTATTTTCATAGTGTGCAGGTGTGTGAGTGTGTGTATTCACATACATCTGGGAGATGTTAGTGTAAAAGATGTAACTGCAGCTCCATGAGTTTGCTTTGTGGCAGAGTGCTCAGTTCATTTAAAAAATGGACAATGACAGGTAACATGCTGTTAATGAGGCTTATCCCAGTGGGCTGTTGGTCAGCTCTGTTCTTTGGTTTAGCTACGTGGTGCTTTTAGAGCAACACTTGAAAAAACTTGTGTTGAGGTCATGCCCATATAAATATGCGGGGTTAAAGATGAGAATGGATTGAAAATGGAACTGTCCTCCTCTTCCCAGTCAGGATGAGAGGAAAAAACGCATGTTCAGAGACTATACTAGTCAGAAGATCACGCTCGAAGCTGTCTTGAACACTGTGTGCAAGAAATGCGGTTGCAAAGGTATGTTCATGCAGCGTTGTCTTGTTCTTTTGATGTAGCCTTGTTCTAAACGAGCCTGTAGGTAAGATTGTATTGACATCCGTCTCAGGGTGGTGTACAAGGACTGAATTGGACTTCCATGAGTCTCTCTTGGAGGAGAAGTGCATTTTCTATCACTCCTTATGAAAAGGAAAGACCTAGCTGAGCTCCTTGTGTACAGGAGGGACAAGCGGTCGTCCTTTCTAACCTGGTGAAATGTTTGTGTTGCCTAGGTCAGCAGCAGGGAGTGGGCTTAGGTGATGCCTTTTCAGTAGCCTTTTTCATGTTGCCGAGGCATAACGTAGTGTTTTGCACATGGGTTTTTGCTGCACCCTACTTGTCTTAGGTTATTTAGCCACAGTGTAAATACTTAGGCTGGAGTTCATGCTGTTCTGGAGAAGGTTAATAACGAATATGGTTCTGTGTAGTATTAAATAAACTATCTTCAAAATATCATTTTAAATACCCCCCCAAACTTCAAACTGGATTCTGTGTACTCTCAGTCTGCTTTTTAATGATGATGTCTACTCATAACAGGCAGGCAGATGCTGTCTGTCTGCAGTTTCCACTACAACTGTTAGTAGGTCAGCTTTGTATCCAGAGTAGAAAGGGTAGAACCAGAACAAGCTGATTTTCTCCCTGTTTATGCCTTTAGTCTCACTTACCAGGTGCCTGTCACACCAGTTTACCCCCAGTGCCATACACTTTTCTGTGGGGTTTAAGCCTTTGCACAGACACGTTTCTACCGGTTGCCCTGTTCAGACAAGAGTGTCTCAGTTTTGGCCTGACTAATCTTTCCAGAATGACCTGGGTTGTGTTTGCTCCTTAGCTTGTTTAATCAGGGCACGTTAAACTGCCTGAAATGCTAGGACACACAAAACTACGGTGTAGATTCTCTTATTGTGACTAATAACAAAAGTATGTTTGGCAGTGCTTCAGGTGTCTAAAATGCAGCCGTTTAAAAAGGCAAAAGGAGGGGTGGGTGGTTGCTCCTTCAAATGCTTTTTTACAGGTCACTTTGCCAAGGAGTGTTTCGTGCAGCCTGGAGGTACCAAATACAGCCTCATTCCAGAAGAGGAGGAAGAGGAGGTGGCAGCAGCAGGATTTGAAAGAGAGAAAAAGACCACCCTGGCTGACAATCCTTCAAAAAAGAGGAAAAAGGTACGAGATGCCCTACTGCTGGCCTGGAAAAGCCAGCTGGGTAACTTGTTCTGCATAGTTACGTCTCTGATTTACTCCAGCAGCGTGGTCATGAGCAGCTGGGTCTGGGCTGAGGAGGTGGCTCAGTTTTGTGCACGTTCTGTAGCAAACCAGGAATCTCTGCAGTCCTCAAAAGAGATTTCTTGGAGAAAAGGCTTATTGTTTTTTTTCGTCGTCTTTGAGAACCTATAGAAATTGCTGCAGTTCCCGGAATTTCTGCAATTCCTGCCAATACCCCCTTTCCCCTCACTTCTCTCGCCCAAACACCTTTCTTTAACCTGAGCAAAGTGCCCCAGCGGGGCACTGACCCTGCGCTGCCGCGGGTGCCCTGACCCAGCCAGTGCCGTGTGAACTAGGCTTGTCTGCGCCTGCCGGGGGAGAGCCGCTGCGGCTGTTTGCACAGCGACCGTTCGCCATTTCCAGGCTCTAAAGCAATTTTTATCTGTGTCAAAATGTCAAGAGATAAGAGACCCTTTATGTCCAGTGGTTGAACTCTGGCTTCAGAGCGTGCTGGTATAAAATGTAGGGGAGACCTGAATCCAAACCAGGAGTGGTTGGTGGACAGCCTGTTTATACAGCAGCGAGTGTTCCAGTTGTAGACTTTGGTAAATAAGCTGTTTCATCAGCCCCTTCACGGCTGGAGACCAAATTTATTTACACTTCCAAAGCCCTTTATTTAATTTTCTTTCTGTTTTTCTTTCTCTTTCCAGCTCTGAGGCCTGCCTGTAACCCTGGAGGGAGAGCAGGCAGGGAAGGAGGTAGATTTTCCTTTTACAGGGAAGAGAGACAAGGATGGTGTTAGTAATTGCGTGGTGAGAGCCACTTTCTGTGGGCTTGGTTCTCCCAGGCTCAGTGGGGAGTTACACCCTTGCTAGTGTAGCAGGGAGACTGCAGGAGCTGGCAGCAGGGAGCAGAGGAGTGAGTCTGTTTTGGTGGCAGCACTCAGAGCTGTCCAGAGGGACACTGCTAGCCGGAGTCTCGCTTCCAGTCATGTTTTTCAGTGGTAGTGTGGTTTATGGCACTTGGATGCGCTCTTACTTGAGAGAGGAGCAGCTGGGGCTCTTTGTGGCTTTGTGGGTGGTGGCTGTACCGGAGTAGAAAAGCCAGGTCATAACTTCCCTTGTGTCAGCCGGCCTCTGCCCTGTGGCATAACAGCTTCTGCCCTGCAGTCAGCACGGACTGACGTTAGCGGTAATTCCGTGACTAATCTGCAGTTCTTGCTTGCGCAGTAGCACTCTGGGTAGCTGACCCAGTAGCGGGAACGGGACTTTTGCTTGTAGATCCTGTTGCCTGCTCCCCTCCAGGCGTGTGCTTTGCTTCCCCAGTACGCAGGCTCTGATTCAAGAGTGTCTTGGACGTGTCGGCAGGGTGGTGTTACGTCGCGATAGAGAATGCATGTTGTCTTCTTTCTGTTCTGATCTCGGAAGCACGCGATTGAGCCGAGTCACCTCAGATCCCAGGCTGACTGCCACTCTGACCTTTCCAGGCTCTGGATGTCGGGCGTCTCTCACCTTGGAGCAGTGTGAGAGGAGGCTGTCGTAGTACCCCAGCGGGGCCGGCTTCTCCTGCCTGGGCTTCTCTTCCTTGCAGCAGTGAGGATGGGTTGTGTGGCAGAGGCTGTGTAACTGCTGTTTAAATGCTGTGGCACTAAGAGGTGCAGCAATAGCTCGTTATCACCTTGGTGCCCATCCAGTGGGCTGGGGTTCCCTGTGGAGTCTTGCCCTGCTGAGGCTACAGGATATGTGGGTCACTGTCCCAGATTTGTTACTGATTTTTTTGGGGGTCTGGGGATTAACAGCCTTCCTTTAAATCCTGCTTGTTCCTTTGATCTTCCTCCTTTCTCAAGAAGGAGATCAAAAGTTTTCAGATGTTTTCCAGTGCTGGAAAATAAAACTTTGAGCTTTTGGAGACAGGATGTGGGATCCTGTAAATGAATAGCTCCCTGTTGTCTCGAGTGCCTGCTGTGATCTTGTCTGGGAGCCACCATATGCTTCCCTGCTCGCCTGGAGCCTGGGAGGAAGAGCTTTACAGAAAGTAGAAATAGCTCAATCTAGCTAGTAACAATTGCCTCACTGCCCCCATCCCATCTGATGTTTGTAGCATCAGTGTGGAGTTTATACTTTTAAATTAGTAGGTGGGGAACTGCTCTCTACCAAGCATCTGGTCAGTGTCACAGCAATAGTATGAGCGTTTTTGGTTGTTCATGAGCAGTGTTTTCTGTTTCCTTGATTTGATGCTTCCTTGCAGTTTCTGGGTGCACTTTCCTCTCCCCAGAGATTCCTCTCCGTACAGATCCTCCCGTCTGAGCCCCACAGCATTTACAGGTGGAAGAGACAGCTGGAGGCTTAAGGTCTCTGCACTGGCTGGGCTTCTGGTGTGACCGAGGGCAGAAGTTTTTGCAGTGACAGATCGCCCTGTTAGTGCTCTGCAAATGAGGGCACTGTCCTGCCTTCTGGCCCTGAGGGAACAAGCGACCCGAGGGAGAGGCGGGGATGCCACTCTCATGGTGCTGTGCAGAATTACTGGGGGGGTTGCTGGCTGCTGCGCTGGCACTGCCTGCGCCCCTTTCACTTTTGCTCTTTAGGTCGCAGGGTGAAGGAGCTCCTATGGGAACGTGGCAGCATGCCTCTGCTGAGCTTGTGTGGGAGGGAGGTGTGCTGAGAAGAAATGACACTCCTGTCTGTCTTTCAGGAAAAGATCTGCTGTTTCAACCCTGGGCATAACCCCTTTAATTTGAATTCTACAAAATTGTCCCCTATTCTGCTCAGATACATTGATCACCTTATCCCAGGGAGGATTTCCAGGCAAGCTGCTTGCAGATGTTGTCTCTTCATGTAAAACCCAGCCTTTTTCAGCTGTTGTTTTCTTAGTGGGCCTTCAAGTCCATCAAGCCTTAGCCATAGAATGGTGTGGGAAGGGACCTTAAAGACCA